AAAGCAGCACATATTATCAATATGACCATTTGTGTCATCATCACCTGTTATACACCAAGGAAATATTTTAATTTTCAGTAGACAAAGAAGAAACTTAAGAGCTGCCATTCCAAGTTTAAATGGTTATGGAACAAATAATTACTAATTAGACAACAGTCATTAAAATTAACCATGCACTTTTCAATTATATTAAAATGCTATATTGCTGTTCACTTCTAAATTTCAGATTCTAATAATTGATAAGGGATAAGTGATAAAAAGTTAAAAACTGGAGCTAAAACTATTCCATACACCAGAAATGCAATAGGATTACAAAGTCCATGATGGAGGGTTATAAAAATATTGTTAGCTTTTTAACATGAGAAGGCATGCATTTAAAGATTTTAGAGCAGTATGTGGATAATCGCCAAAAACGCAACATTGTAGCTATTAATTATCACATCTGCCTTAAGCTATATAAACCAAAGAATTTCAACATAATCAAGCATGCAAAAGACATATAATTCAGTAACATATAGTCCATGAGGCAACCAAATAACCTTCTTGACTTCAAGATATGCCTTAAGTTCGTTCTCTATCTGTTCTTTGCTTAAATGTGGGCTCCTGTTTTTATTCAAGAGGCACTCCTCAGTGGTAAGGCAAGTCCCTGAGAGAACATAAATGCTGGATAAGTGCTACATGGTAAGGCAATTCTAGTTGCAAACTAAGAACAATTTCCAAAAGTGTTCCTTTAGAAAGTAAAATTAAATTTCAGTCACAAAAAAGCAAGCAGCTTGAGAAGCAGATTTGAGTGAGATTTCTTAGAAACCAGACTACTTTTACAAGATGATGGATGCAGTCCACAAAGTTTCTAGTAAGGATGAAGCAAAATTTTCTTGAAAAGTCAGAAGAGACAATTTTACATGCAGTCTGATTGGTATTATGATGAATATATTAATTTAGAGAACCATCACTACAATGTTAAAACAACAATAAACATTCTAAACTTAAGCAGATTCTCATTAATTTAAACTGGATTTTCATGCATTTTACAGATTGCCTTGATAGAGAGTTGGGCATCAAATCTACTTCCAGATATCAGGGCCCTCACAACAAGAAAAAATAATTTTTTTTAAAAAGAAAGAAAGAAAGAAGAAATAAAGGTAATATTTCAACGCAGCTAAAGGAGGGTATTATTCAAATGCAGGAGTTATAGATGAATATTTTCCTAGAAACTGGCCATGTAGAATCATTTATTGTCCATGGATGACAATTTGGTATTCTTTTGGTGGATGTTAAAGTCCAAGTTGTGAATAAAAAGTTTATTATGGAATATGGTAACAATTTTAAAAAGAGACAACTGAACAGGAGAATTGTTTATGTAGCATAAATGCTGCATATCAAAGTTTTTCTTTTTAGCCATGATATTAAAGTTATGCTGAGTCAACAGTTTTAAAGTATTTCTCTGGCTTTCCAACATCAAGTTTTCCCTCATTTTCCCCCCCAAATTAATGGAAAACTCAAAATGACAGCCTAACTGCAAATAGCCATTACCTGCTCCATCTACATGGATGCTTCCACCTTCAAGAATAATAGTGAGCGGAAATCTAGGAAGTCTCTTGATTCCCAAGATCTAACAGCAAAAGATAAGAAAATAATAAACACCTTATGACACTTTACCTGAACAAATTAAATATGTAAATAGAGAAATAACTAGATAAGTCTAGTGAACACTGACCTTCTTTGCCACAAGAAGGTGAAGACTCCAATCTTTGTAGCATTCATCGTCAACCTGTAGAAAGACCAAGAACATTCCTCTTAAAGAAGGAGGCAGAATACAAACAATAAGCACAAAATTTCAACTTATTAGTTTCTGTGAGCAGTATTACAAACGGAACGCAAGGGCACAACCATACGTCTAATCTATGTGAAAGAATACTTGGGTAGAGATATTAAATTATTTTATTAATAATAATGCAACAATACCTAGTTGTTACACCCTTCTTCTTATAGACTGCATAAACTCATAAAAGAACTGTAAGAATCCTACATAACTTGTCACAGATACAAAGTCTAAAGAGTTTAGTTTAATGCTTACCTCCCTAGTTGTTAAAATTTCAATTGATTCCTGCAACCTTTTGCTCCTGTGCCTTGGAACCTGATTCTCTTTCACTTACAACAAACAGCTAGGAAAAGTAAAACAAATAAAAGTCATTTAGCAGGAAATGACAAGAGCACATCTAATTCATAATAAGAGTTCAATGTGAAGGCAGTCTAAGTAAGATCCCTAATAAAGCATAGGCAGAGCTCACAGTTGGTCCAGTATCGCGAAACCAAGAATCATTCATACTCATCTCAACGACCCTGATAGTTTCAGGTAACTGACTCCGTGCATTTTCCCACCGAACAAGCAATGAGTAAAATGTTAAACTCCATCAAGAGCAACATTGGAAACTACCGATGAGTCATTTCTACGTCTTAAATTTCTACCAACTTGAGCAGCACTTGCACAGACAGTCACAAGCTCAAACTTGGATGTTGCAGTTGCTATCTTCGCAAAAACACGTTGGCCATGTGCTGCATTGTCTCTCCAGTTATCTGGACGTTCCTACAAAACAAAACAGTCAGTCTTATCTTGAGACTGCAGATAATCCAAACAACAGAAAGAAAAGAATTATACTCGACTTGTCTTTAAAGTATATAAGTATGAGCTTGAAAAGAGACAATTAAAGACAAGTCCAAAGTACTATGAGGCTGGAAAACACGAATTCTTGATAAGGACCAGAAAAGATGAGAGGCAATAGCCAATTTTTTGTGACACACCAAAGCATGCCTCTTTTTTCTGCTGTTCCAATGAAAAGAACCACCTTGCACATGATACCAATGCATTTGATGGAAAACACAAAAACCCAGTTTAAAGTACCAATAATTATTGGCTTCTCAATTGCAAGAAGATGTATAAAAGGCTAGGAACCTAAAAATTCGTGTAGAAAAGTTTAAGAGGGTGAAATTTAACTCACACACCACCCATGAAAGATCTCAAAAATGCTTGGATACTCGTCGAAGCCTAAACATTTAACAACTTCGTTTGCATACATATAATTAAAATTGATAACAGAAAAGGAAATGCAGAGGAAAATTGATTGATAACACACTTACGGGCCAACCCATCCAGCACCGTGAATGGGGCTCCCACTTTGCAGACATGTAGAACCCATGAATTTTCATTCAGAGCCCTCTCTGATGGAGTGAACAGATCGGTAAAGCGACCAAGGTTCAAACCCAGAAATGGAGATAGCCTCTCCGCTTGAGGTTGAGCCCACTGCTGCTGTGTGAACTTCCGTCCAACCCATTAAAAAAATTTCAATGCTTGAACTTTTAAACTTTATTAAAAAAAGAAAAAGAAAAAGAAAAAGGAAAAGATTCTGAGGCTATTAAACGCAATCTATTAAATAGGGTATCAGTTTGAGTTAAAATGTCAAACGACAGTAAAGGCACAACCGTCGTGGCATGTCGGCCGCCACCACTGAGTAAGTTCCGCCACTAAAATGAGAAAATCTCCCCATACAACTGAGGTACGAACAGCGACATCCCATTCACGGATAGCGACGCGCAAATATATGTGGATGTCACATATATAGTTAAATAATTAATAAATTATAATAAATTTAACTTTTATAATTACAACTCCACATACAATTCGAATTATACTGTAAAATAATTTTTTTTAATAAAAATAATAATATCACAGAAGAAACTGACAGCAAAATAAATAAAAATAATTTTATAATATCTTCTTGAAAATATTCATACTTCTCAGTAATCCAGTAAATTTACCGTCTTGAAGGTTAATACTCCTCTGCTGATTCTCAGCACGTCCCTTTCCTTTTGCCCACCACCACCACCAGGCTTTATCGCACTAACTACCCCCTGTCTTTCCACCTCGGTGTCCACTAGTGGAATCACGAGAATCCGATTCCGAACTCTCCACATAAAGAAAATTCAACAAAAACTCGTTTGTGCACTTCGATCAGAAGCTTCAAGAACTGAGAATCGCAAAAGGAAGGAACTTTAAATAAATTTAAGGTATGATGGTGTTATTATTAGAACTGCTTCAGTGATGGCTTAGGAGTTTGGATTTTTCACTGTAATTTGTTCTTAACTTCTGGGTGTTTCCGTCTTGGACTTTCTCTGTTTTCTATGTTGTTTGATTGATGGTCATGGTGTATAACTACTGGATATTTTTCTGTTCTTTAGTAGCATGGAGTTCAGCTTTGTGGATTCAAATCACTTGATTGTTATGTTGATGAACGGCCTGTTTTTAATGAAATTTCTTGACCCTTTTTTTTATTTGGTCTCTATTTTTCCCTATCTATCTTGTTTTCTAACTAATTGCTTTAGAAATGGTCATGTAAGTTAATATCTTATATGGCTGTGAAAATGCTGTTTGTTTGCCCCCTTTGGTCAGTTTATATCTGGTTGGAAGCTGCTTTTCAAAAAAATATCTGGTTGGAAGCTGTAAAATCCATGATCAATGAAAATTTTTGTTTAACTGTGTTATGTTCTGATGGGTACTTTTTCTCTTATGCTCATGTTAAAACAAATTTCTGTATGAAAAGTTCAGTTTTGTGAAATTTAGTTGTTATTAATCCTCTAATTTCAGCGGGAGCAATATGATTCCTTTTGTTCTAAAATCAGTAGGGCTTTTTCTAATTTGCCAGAGAATCATATTGGAGGAGTATATTCATCTCTTAAATGACTCAAGATACCTCTGCTGCTGCTGAATCACCCAGGCGACGGTCTGGTCTGCTGCGGGATCAAGTCCAACTGGTTAAGAAAAAGGACGATCGATATGAGATTGTTCCGATAGAAGATTCCTTATCCTTTGAGAAAGGTTTCTTCATTGTAATTCGTGCATGCCAATTATTGGCTCAGAAGAATGATGGGTTAATTTTAGTTGGAGTAGCAGGACCTTCTGGAGCTGGAAAAACTGTGTTCACCGAGAAAGTGCAAAACTTCAAGTCCAGCATTGTTGTTATATCAATGGACAACTATAATGACTCCAGTCGCATTATTGATGGGAACTTTGATGGTAATCTCTCTTGTTCTTTCCTTTATCTGATTGATTCATTACATTAATGTTTTCTAAGATTCTAAATAGCATCTAATGTTGCCTGCACTCATGGGTTTTTAAGGGATCCCTTAGAAGCATTTTGAACCTTAAGTATAATTTTATAGCCTGTTTTAAAGTTCATTTTAATTTCTTGTGATGGTTCTCTACTTCTATGGAAGAAGTAATTTCTACTAGTTATGAGTATCTAGATGTCACATACTGACATCCATGACCAAGTGATGCAGCAGGGTGTGCTTTGGTAACATATAAGGCAAGAGATGCTTTTATTCTGTTAGAGCTGTTGCCTTCAACATTAAATTTTGAATAGAGCAGCCTGAAAGGGATTATAAATTTAGGTTCTGATCCTTAAAATTGATTAAGGATACCTCAAAAAGGAAAACTAATAATTCCTCAAGGATTATTATATGGTATTGCCTTGTCTAGTAGTATTAAGACCATTTGGTTTCCAAGCTTTTGAGGGGTATTGGTTGTCCTGGCTTGCAAGGTTGTTAAGTTAGGATTTTCTATAACAGAAAACTGGTCTAAGGCTGGAATATATGGCAATTTCCTCAATGACCTTGGTGGACTATTCTATTGAAAAATTCTGAGGTGCATTTCTAGATGGTCTTTGTAAACAAGGCTTTGTAGAGCAGTACCGTGTCAGAGATGTTGTTTACATTTGCATTCAATTAGGCAATAGGTTTTGGTTCAAAAGATCCCTGGTTGAGGTTGTGAATGGAGGACTGCTTTGAATAGGTTGTGATGATTCTTTGCCTTCTTTCTAGTCAATCTGATTAATTATCTCTTTTAATTTTAAGAATCCATACTTCAAAATATTTAAGTCATGGGATGAAAATTTTCTATCAGACATTTTATGTGCCTTCTCCTTTTTGGCATCAGGCATAATACAATCCAGGGGCATGATAGGTGTGATGATTCTTTGCCTTCAAAATATCTGAGTTGCTTTATGATAGTTTATTTCTTATTTTGCATGATACTCCACATCTAATTAATTTTTGGATCTGAACACCACTGTTTCAGTTAGATAATGAATTGATATACTTCACATGCAATAACACATGGATTTCATTGATCATACAAGTAATATTATGCAACTTTTTTGGTTGTCTTTCCTTTGGAGATGTAAGCAACGCAATGCAATGATTATAGGCTAAAGAAGGATGCATGATGGAACTCTAATTGTGGAACTTTTATGAAACAGACCCCCGATTGACAGATTATGACACACTGCTTGAAAATATCCGGGGTTTAAAAGCAGGGATACCTGTTCAGGTTCCAATATATGACTACAAGTCTAGCTCTCGCACAGGATACAGGTTCTTCACCTTCTTTCAGTTTTGCTATTATGTAAGGCATGGGAATGCTTTCCTGTTGGTAAATTGCATTAGCACTTGTTCTGCCTGCATGCAGGGAATGGGGAAAAAAAGAGAGAACAAAGAATAAAAAGAAGGGGATCCTAGGAAATTAGTTATTCTGGTGTGAATATTGTTGATCTTAGATTTGTTAATCCTTTTTCAGGACTGTTGAAGTTCCTAGTTCCCGCATTGTAATCATTGAAGGAATATATGCCTTGAGTGAAAAGTTGCGGCCTTTCCTAGATCTCCGTGTATCTGTTACTGGTGGGGTCCATTTTGACCTTGTTAAGCGAGTATTGAGAGACATTCAACGTGCTGACCAAGAGCCTGAAGAAATTATCCATCAAATCTCTGAGACGGTTACTAATCCTACTTTAGATATTTTTCCATTTTTTCTACAGGACAGCTGAGTTAGCTCCCTTATGAGATCCTAATTAGTTTTAGCCTTGGTGTGGGCTAATCATACCATATGCCCCCTTAAAATAGAAGCCAATATTGTGTTTCTAATCACTTATTTTCATACAGGTGTATCCTATGTATAAGGCTTTCATTGAGCCAGATCTCCAAACAGCACATATCAAAATCATCAACAAGTTTAATCCGTTCTCTGGATTTCAGAACCCCATTTATATTTTAAAGGTCAAAGTCCAATCCTTCCATATTAGAATAAAAGCTATCTATTGGTGCTTCAATGTGTCATTTCCTTTTAACTCTAGCACTTAGTGATTTCTATCATTGTAGTCAACAAGGTCAGTGACAGTGGATCAAATTAAGGCTGTTCTTTCTGAAGGATATAAAGAAACTACAGAGGAAACTTATGACATATATCTTCTACCACCTGGTGAAGATCCAGAGGCGTGTCAATCATATTTGAGGATGAGGAATAGAGATGGAAAATATAATCTCATGTTTGAGGTTGGATTACTGTTTTTAAGCTTTTTGTTGAAATTAATTTATGTCTTCAAAAAAAAAAAAAAATTTATGTATTTATCTTAATTGGAAAATGGCAATGAGATCTAATTGTGTGCATCATTATGCTTTTAGTATAGCAGCCTGCAACACAGATCCTTGGATCAATAATAAAGTAATCAATTCATGTGGTTTTGATTTACTTAATCATTTTACTGGATAACTTCTAACTTATATGCTGTTATGCTGTATTACATAGCACGCTTATTCATTCTATTATTTACAATTCCTATATCCTTTATGTTTTTCTGCTGCTAGCCATGACTGTTTGTTCGTCGACAGGTAGATTGGTAAATGAGGATGGAATACATTTACTTGCTCATCTTGCTTCTAGGGCTTGTATCTTGCATAAGAAACTAAATGTCAAAATCATTAACTTGGTGTCTCTAATTGGTTGCTGGCTTTCCCTATCAATCATTTTCTTATTTGTCAACCAACTTCAGGCTTAGCCTTAGAACCAGAGTCCTTTCTCTCACCAGTGCCTGCCTTCCTAAAAGCAGAGACTCATTAAGCATGTTATACAAATCTATATACCATACCATAGGCTTCTGTCTAAAGCAAATTAAATGATGCATGCAAATAAAAGATTATCAATAAAATTGAGGTGATTATGTACATCTGCTTTACTCTGTTATTGATTTGTATTGACCTTATGTTTAGAGTTCTTCTCTTCTTTTAAGAGTAGATCTGGTGAGTTTTAGTGCTTCTAACCAGTTTTACTTGTTTTTAGGAGTGGGTCACAGACAGTCCATTCATAATATCACCTAGAATAACTTTTGAAGTTAGTGTACGCCTTCTTGGAGGGCTTATGGCTTTGGGATATACAATTGCATCCATCCTTAAAAGAAGCAGCCATATCTTTAAAGATGATAAAGTGTGCGTGAAGACTGATTGGTTGGAGCAACTTAATCGCCGGTATGTCCAGGTATTGTATTCTTTTTGAGCCTTCAACTCTTTTCCCTCTATTATAACCAGGTTAACATGGTTTGTTTGTTATGATTTTGTGTTTATAATAATACTGAATATTGTTGTCTTAGTTAGTAGTTCAATATCTTTGGCTACAATAATTGTTTGCCCTTTTCTTCTGAATGTCTCTGCTGCAAATAAACAATTGTGTCCATAGAAATTTATGATGTTGAGATCAGATCTGTAAATATTATGCTCTTCACTTTTGTCACAAATATCATTTCTAATTTATTTTACTGTGTAATGAGGTTTGAAAAAAATATGGATGTTCTGCAGTGATCTTCTAGTAGCTTTGCGTATTTTCCAGCTTATGGCTTATTTGATGGTTTGTCACCACCATAAACTTTTTCCAGCTATTCTGTACTTCCCTCAAACAATTGGAGTCAGCTGGATGAATGTCATGAATGTCAAGTCTTCCATTCAACTCTAATCTAGAATCCTTAGATCCAGTCTCTCCCTCTCTCTAAATTTTTCTGCTGCACAGGTTGTAGGTTTTCCTCTGTGTTCTTATTATTTGCCCATTTGAAGCAAAATCCATGTCGTTGACCAACAAGGGCATGGATTTTTTGTTGTTTAGAGCATTTAATTATAGAATCACTTTTTACTCCTAGAATGGGTACCAACGAATGCATTAGCTGTTCTTTTCTTGCTTTTATTTTTACTCTTTTTTTTTCTTTTTCTTTTTTTTTTTTATCTCTATTGCCTCATTCATGAATATTTCCTTAGTGTCCCTACATTCAATCTACAAATGCATGCATCCTGGTCCAGCTATAAAATCCTTCATCATTGATTGTTAGGAGATTTTTTTCTTTTCGGACAGCCATTGTTAGGAGATTGGGTTAATTGAAGAATAGAGAAAAATTAAATGTGGCACTCCTATATACAATATGTGTGTTATATATTTTATTCTGAAAATACCCAAGCAACATCAAAGTTGGTTATGGAATGCAGTTTCAGACTTTAAGTCAATCAGGATGACTTCAGTGCATATTTTTGTTGGTTTTGATGTTTAGGAAATTAGTTCAAAACTTGGCTGGTCTATTCTAAAATGAGTTTTGAGTAAGTCCCTTGGATTTTAAATTGCAAACTGTGTTTGATATGGGTGGGATTTCAACCTAAGACGTGCCCAAATCTCCATTTGCCTTTTTAGAACTCATGTTATATATTTTACTATTTCATAACCTTTCTCTTTTTCATACAATCTTACACTCTCCTTCAGTGTTGCAGTACATAAAGATCTAACAAATTCAACCTCATCTGCAAATTACATGGACATTATTTTTCTCTCCTTTGATGTGAATGTTGCAATGCCTGGAACTAACTTTAGTTGTGCTTCTGTTGCTATGAAGGTGCAAGGTCGAGATCGCTCGCATGTTAAACATGTCGCAGAGCAGCTTGGCTTGGAAGGTTCTTATTGTCCTCGCACATACATAGAGCAGATCCAGCTAGAGAAGCTTGTAAATGACGTTATGGTATGAGTTTTCCAATCTGATTATACATTTATTATGGCATTTGCATCCGCGCTGACTCAACCAATGTGCAGGCGCTACCAGATGATTTGAAGACAAAGCTTAGTATTGATGATGATTTAGTTTCAAGCCCTAAAGAAGCCCTTTCCCGAGCCTCTGCAGATAGGAGGATGAAGTATCTGAGTCGGTAATACTTAGCTCTAGAAAAGTTAAAACATATCTATCATTTTTCCGTTTTCTAATTGGGCCAGAATTCATTTGCCATCTTAAAGGAGAATTAAAAACAAATACAATGGAGAAAATGCATGATGTATAGAGACGATTTTATGGGTATCTCCACCAATTTAGTTGGATGAGTTATGGTATCTCCACCACCTTGGTTGGATGATTTTTATATAGAAACAATGATCTTAGCTGATGCAAGCAGTAAACTGTGTTTTTTATGTTTGAAATTTTGTTCAAGGGATAGCCTGTTAACTTTACACCCTGTTAAACATAGGCTGATGGGGTACTTCTGTATCATATTTTGCAGCAGCATATCACACTCATTTTCACATCAGCGGGACAAGAATCTCCAAAAACTGACAAAACTTTCTATTAACAGTAGAAGGTTTGATGGAAGGGCACCAGATTCACCTGCTACAATTGCAAACCAGGTGAAAACGTTGCTCTCTAACTAAGCTATTATGGTAGTCTCTTCATAAGTCCTCTAGGAAGGCAAAATACCCTAATGCTTTATGGTTGCCCAAATGATAGAAAAATAGAGGCATACAAATGAGGCATATTGATCTTATTTTCATATCATCTGTTCAAGAAATGAAATATCTTCACTTTTTTTTGATACATCCAAGGTTCTTGCAACCCCGGCCTACTTCCCTTTTACCTTATCATATGTATGATGTGTTTCTTCCCCTTTCCTTCATAGTTATATTCTTTTTCTTTGCCCTGAAGGCTATATCGTTGTAGTATTATTTTTTAGCTAATGGGTTATTGCTTGGACTTCAGGGAGTCATCACTCAACTCTCAGAACAAATTTCTACTTTGAATGAAAGGATGGATGAGTTTACATCCCGTATCGAAGAGCTGAATTCCAAGTTCTCTGTCAAAAAAGTTTCAGGCAGCCAACAAAACTTAGCTGTGCAGGCTGAAGCCTGCAATGGCTCTGGACCCACTTCTCTTTTCATGACTGGCTTGGGTAACGGTTCACTGCTGCCCCATTCTTCATCTTCTTCCCAGTTGGCTAGAGAGTCCCCAATAATGGAGGAGGTACTTCAATTTACTTATCTGTGATTATGATATATTGCTTTATTGGCGAAGTTTTTATCAGAAGTGTTTCGCATATGCTATCTGGTTCTATATTTACAATAAAAAATTGATAAACCAATTCTTTATGTCAAATATTGCACTCTATGGTAGCACTCAGTAACTAAATTTTGCTTGAAGCTTGTTTCACGAGTTGACATCCAAACCAATGCTTTATTTTATTTTCGTTTCAATCTCCATAGGTTCTGATGATTGCGCGCGGACAACGCCAGGTAATGCATCAGTTAGACAATCTGAGCAATCTGCTTCATGAATACTTTGGAGAAAGGTCTCGCCAAGCAAGGGTCGACAGGACTTCAACCAGAATGGCTGATGTTGAGACCATTGGCATCCCTCTTGTTCTTACCCTTGCATTTGGTTGTTTAGGTGTGTTTTTGTTCAAGAGTATCACATCCCCAAAATGATTTCCGTGCCAAACATAATGGTATTAGCATACCAATAGACATTTGTATCTTTCTCTGTTGAAAGATGGAGAGATGAATAGCAGCTTTGCATCAAACATTTGATTTTGGTGCTGGAAGTGGTGTAGGAAGATATTATAAAGCCAATAGGCGCTCCTCACCTTCAACACTCCACAACATATTCCTGCTTTGTATTTTTAATTAGCAATGATATAATCCCAGATCTATTGCAGAATAAGTATTTAGTCAATGTGTCTCGTTTAAAATGTTGATTCCCATTGCCTGAATGGTATAGCCTTTGCGGCCTTTTATCTCTCACATGCAATCAGAAATACAGCTTCAACAGACAAGTGAATTATTGCTGGCCATATTAACTAAATTGGAGTGTATCACATAACAAGCAAGATAAAGCTCATTCAAGAATCTCACTTGAAGTACAACAAACTTGTTCATATCAATCAGATTTCAGAAGAGAGAGGATGTAAGCTCAGTAACTTCCTTCACAACCTGATTATAATCTGCCTTGAATTTTTCTTGCTCCTCTTGGGTTATTTCACCTTTGATTGGCTTAGTCAGCACCAGGACACAGCATGTTGGTCTCTTAGTGGCTCCTGCAGTTGCAAGATCCTGATATGCAAGAAAAATCGTAAAGATGAGATACATATCAGGGATAAGATAAAGGAAGGACAAGGTCATGGAGAAGAGGGAGCAGGGTATGGAAAAAAGAAAGAAAATAAGCAATAATCCCAACTTACTTCTTTTGAAGGAACATAAACATAGGGAATGTCAGCCTCTTCACATAGGATTGGTACATGGGTTATGACATCAATAGGGGATATGTTTCCTGCTATAACACAAAATCTGCACACTCGAAAATAAAATTTTCTGTAAATAAAGGTAATTTCAAAGTTAAAATACTTTAAAATAAGTTCAAATAAATCAGAACAGAATGTCAGAATGCCACTAAAAGGTGGTAAAAGAGAGAAGTGATCATGTTTTAGCGGTTAAGAAAGGAGTCTCCACAGAGTCCGCACCCTTTATGACCACGCCGAATACTTTTAACCACTTCCTTCACTCCTCTCTTCAAGCACCTATGCTCAGCAGCTACAAGAATACAAAAAATAACAAGGTTAAAATAAAGATTGTCTTTTAAACTAAAATCATTGATCAGACTAACCAAAAACACTTACGCCGACTATAATCCATTTAAGCTGTTGCAGAAAAGATCTAGTGATCAGGTCTAAGCTTTACAACAACAAAAAATATCCAAATGCTACCATTTGCATCCCCTAGTGCTAAATTGCTTGATGTATCTTTAAGCAAAATTCCTAGTTCACATACAGCACCATTTCTCTTTTTTTTCTTTTTTTTTTCTCAATTCCTTCACTTTTTCTTTGCCTTCGAAAAATAGAAACAAAATGGCATTTGCAAATTGCACAAGATAACATCTTGACAGAATTACATTTTGCCAACCTTATTCCCAAAGAAAATGGCATTTCACCCAAAACGGGTCGATGATATCAAATTCATTCGTGCTTTACAAATAGAGTTTCGATATCTACTCTCACTTAAAACAAATTATCACCAATTCTCTCGTCTTATACCATTATTAGAAAAAAAAAATTTAATACGAAATTAATAGTGTTCTTGCATAGGTCGAACCGAAGAGGTACCTTTGCGTACCAGCTTAAGTGTACGCTTGCAGAGCTTCTTGCCGGCGAGGGGCTTCGCGATGGGAGCAACAGCCGGCAACTTCTTCTTCTCCTTCTGATGCGACTTCTCTGCTTCGCTATCGCTTCCCATCTCCCTCTTTCTCTACCGACGGTAAGGTATGGAATCAGAACAGTGTGCAGAACCAGAGGGTAACAGCATGAATCATGAACCCTGGGGTTTTGCTGCTTT